GACCTATGAATTACAATTCAAAAAACAAGCACTGGTCTATTTTAGAAGTTTCACTTTATGTCAGAAGAAAATGCCACAATGTGTAATTCTATGAGGATTGGATGTTTGATAATAATTCCATCCGGCTATTTGTCCCCTTACTTTCAAGGCTTCAAAACTCCTTAACCCAATTCCAGGGCTCTTGACTATGACTTTGTTGTCCCTGGCCTCAGTGCCATTTTGTCCAGCAAGCATTGTGCCCAGTAAGCTTTTATTCAGAGCACTTGGTCTTTTCTTATCAGTGGGACCTCACGGTTTAAATGTCACCTCAACTTTCCAGCCTTCCCTTGTAAGACTTCCGTGAGTCATTCTGACCACTTTAACCAGTGGCACAAAACCCAACGTCCAACCACCTAAACATGCAGGTTTCCCTACAGAGTGAGGTCAGATGTTCTCATCACAAACAAAAATCACCTGCTGGTGAGAGGCCTAGGCTATCATCAGCCCTGGCATCTCTGGATGTCCGGTGAGGCCCGTGGGTCCTTTTTCAGAATAATGCTTAAAAATGACTCAATAAAATAAAACACACTTAAAAGTAATAATATATCAAAATATAAAAATTAAATTGGCAATATGGTAATATGTATGCCTCTTGATGTGCCTCCAGTGGGACTTTCTGAACGGTATAATTTTGAAATAGTGACAAGCATGAACAATTCTATAAGATATGGAGACCAATATCCTATTTCTCATAGTGACAAAGTCACGGGTACGGCTGACAGTGCTCTGGCTTGTTGGCAACATACATAGTTGAACAGAATGCTAATTTTTGCTCAAAGATGAGTTTAAAAATAAAAATGCACCTTTTTTCAATTTACTAGTTCATGGAAACTTGCTGTGGACTGAGTGTATTCCCCTAAACGTAAATGTTGAGGCACAATGTGACCGTACTTGGAGATAATAGGTAATTGGGGTTAAATTAGGTCATACTTGTGGGGTTCTAATCAGATAAACAGAAGAAGAGGGAGCTCCCTCCCATCCTCTACATACAGGCATACCAGGAAAAGGCTGTGGGAGCAACACTGAGAAGGTGGCCATCTGCAAGCCAGGGAAACAGCCCTCATCAGAAATGGGCACAGCTAGAAACTAGCTCTTGTACATCCCAGCCTTCCAAGCTATGAGAAAGTAACTTCTGCTTTTTAACCCACTCGGCAAAGCACAATAAGACAGGAATGAAGGCTAAGACAAGACCCACCCCCAGCACCCCTCTTTGCTTCTAGACCAATAACCAGGCTCAAGTCCCAGCAGGCCCCTAATGGTGAAGAACAAAGTGTAATCCAAGGAGGGGCTAAGCTCCAAAATAACTACTTAAGTTTTCTAATGTATAAAGACAGAAATCCAGGGGACAAGTGTGAGAATGAATAGTGAGAGTGGGGTAATGGAAGAAGGAACACAGAATTGGGTCACGCTGAATTTGTTGATTAGGCTCACTCAGCAGAGGCTCTGCATTGAATGTTGTAGCCCAGGGAGGTAGAAAGGGCTCTGATTTTTGTTTGGTTTGTCATCTGAAACATGCACCAGAAGGTGGCCCACAGTGAGAGAGCGGGAATGCCAGACCTGCCTTGGTGTAATGTAGCGGATGGGATTCACAGGCATAGCGAGATTCTAATATGAGGGTGGATCTGTCATTTAAGACTGACTCATTCACACTAGAAGAGCCCCAAAGGCACATGAATATTCTCATGAATATGAGAAATTATTTATGAGGGAGCCCAACATTCTGGAAGAGCTCTGGCGTCACTATTCTTTGTATATTAGACTTACACTAGGACCTGGAGTGGCTGAATGGGGTATCCTAGATGCAATGGGAATAATCATATCCTGGGGCTGCAGGGGCCAAGTGGCTGCAGTCAACCACCAAAGCCAGGGTGGGTGTGGTGACCATGATGGACAGCAGGGTCGTTCAGCAATCAAAACAGTCTGGTCTTTGCAGACCTATAGGGTAGTTTGTTGATCCTGCTTGTTCCTAGGCATGAAATTGGTAGGAAGACTAATAAACGTTTGCTTAATCTATGTAAGCATGAAGGTTTTAGGTTACCTAAATAAAAGTCTAAACTGTATCATAAAAGCACGGAGTCACAGCTCCTCAATCAAATCCAGACTTCTGGGCCAGTTTATAGACTCAGAACACTAAAGGTAGGAAAGGCTGGGTTCCGTGAGGAAGGCCCCTGGTAAACCGGCAAACATTTGTACTGCCTCTCTTTCTCCTAGTTTTTCCCAAAGGAAATTTGGCCTTTGATCGGGGTAACTGCATTGGGGAAAAGGAAATAATTAGACTTTTCAGGAACTACTGGACACTGGCTCTAAACTCGCACTGACTCCAGGAGAACCAGAACACCACTGCGCCCTCCTGTCCAGACAGAGGCTTATGGAGGTCGTGTCATCAGTGGAGTTTTAGCTTGGGTTCATTGCATAGTGGGCTCTGTGGGTCTCTCAGCCCATGCTATGGTAATTTCTCTAAATCTAAAATGTGTAATTGGAATAGGTGTAATTACCAACTAGGAGATATCCTACATTGATTTTCTGACCAGGATAAATAAGGGCTGCTGTGGTGAGAAAAGCCAAGTGGAAGCCATTGCAACTTCCTATACCCAGGAAAACAGTCAGTTCAAAGCAATGCCACATTCCTGGAAGTATTGCAAAGATTAACGCCAACATCGGTGACTTCAAGTACAAGCACATCTCTCTTCAACTGTCCTTTTTGGCCTGTGAAGAAGACAGATGGATATTGGAGAATGATAATGAATTATTACAAGCCTAAGCAGGGGTCTAAACCAATTCTAGCTGCCGTGCCAAGTGAAGTTTCATTGCTTGAAGAAATCAGCGTATCTCCTGGTACCTGGCATGCACCTATTCATCCGGCAAATGCATTTTTCCTTATACCTGCCAATAAGGACTACCGGAAGTAGTTTCCTTTCAACTGGCCAAGCCAGCAATACAGCTTCATTGCTCTATCTCAGGGGTATACCAACGGTCCAGCCCCTGTCATAGGGTACTTTGCAGGATCTTAAATGCCTTCCCTCCCATAAGCTAGCACACTCTCCATTGCATTGATGATGTTACACTGACTGGGCCTAGAGAGTGAGAAGGAGAAAGTTCTCTAGACTACTGATAAAACATTTGCGTGCTTATGGTGGGAAGGTGGGAAATAAATCTGACCCAGATTCAGGGGCCTTTTACTCTGGTGAAATATTGCCATGACGAAATTTCTAGGGGTTCAGAGGTATAGGGGATGTTGAGATATCTCTTTTAAAATGAAGAGTAAGTTGTTCAATCTGGCCCTTCCTAGAAAGGAAAAAGAAGCACAGCACTTAGTGGGCCTCTTTGGATTTTGGAAGGAACATATTCCTCATTCAGGTGTGTTACCCTAGCTTATTTACACAGCGACCTGAAACGTAGCTGGTTTGGAGTGTGGCCAAGAACGAGAGAAGGCTCTGCAGCGGTTCTAGGCAGCTGCGCAAGCTGCTCTATCACTTGGGCTTTATGTTCCAGCAGATGCGATGGTACTTGAAGTGCTGGTGTCAGGTGTTAGGGACAAGCTGCCTCTGAAAACCCGCTGCATGTAAGCCGGCCCCTTCCCCGACTCTGATTGCTCTGCAGCTGCATTCCTGAACCCCTATTACAAGCCACATCAAGGCTGCCAGATGTGCTGCAATTAAGCAAAGCCTGCTTACAGCCATCCAGGCAGCTCCAGGGAGGACAGGGAACACATACGTTGGTTATCCACACTTGTAAATTCCTGTTTGACACATATCTGTAGAAAGCTCCCGGTTTCTCTCTTTTTAAAAAAAACTGCCACCACAAAAGTCACAGGATGATGTATTGTAGGTCTGTTACAAGTTAACAAACTATCTCTGTGCCTGTTACCAGCGAATAGATTACCTCAATCCTAAAAGCCCCTCATGCCCTTCTCACCCCTGTAAACACCTCGTTCTGTGAGCTCAGGGCTGCCTCCTCTGATTGTTACGGAGCAGCCTGCAGGTTAATAAAACTTGCTTGCCTGACTTTGGGTCTATTCTCCTTTCTCTTGGCTACCCTTACACTCATGAAAGCTCTTGACACCTCAAGGCCACCAAGGGTGGGGCCAGATCACTTCTGTTTGGATTCATATAATCCCTCCCGATTAGAAACCACACACGCCACAGGTTTACACTGTGCCATGAATCCCGCGTTCCCTTCTCAAATCCTATCTTTTACATCAGCTAAATTCCACTCTCCTTTCCCAGAACAAGATTCTCAGGGGTGAGTGCCGTTGACGGGTGGATTCCACCTGCCTGAGCTCAGAAGTTCAGGGGTTGGGCGGGGGGTGTCTGTGAAGCAGCAGATCATGCCAGAGTCCAGCCCAAAAATCTTCAGGGACTCCCTCCTGCCTCGGGAATGCATCCCCAGTCCAGACCTGGTGGGGAAGCGCTGGGGCCTCACAGACCACCGCTAGTTCCTGGATCACCACCCCTGGTTTTTGTGACAGATTCCTCCCAGGACTCGCCCGACTACCCTCTTAGTGTTTTCCTGAGATTTCCAAAAGCAGGTCTGGATCCAGCGCCTGCTGTTGGGAATGCAGGGTTTTGGAAGGCAGGGGAGCATAACAGGAGGCAGCCCCTGCTGGACAGGAGGGGGATGAGCACCTGCCCAGAGCTGACACTCAGGCTTGGGCGGTAGGAACCTTCTGAGAACACGTTACTCCTTTCCACTGGCATGTCTGCCCTTTTCTTACCAATTTTGGAGAGCTTTTTGAGTATTATGGGTAGTAGCAACCCACTATCTGTAAAATGCATTCAGAATATTTTTTCCAGGTCTATTTCACTTTGTGACTTTGTGGAACCTATTTGCCAGAAAGCCTTTTTAAAAAGCATGTCAAATATGTATATTTTCTTTAAAAATATCTAGGGTTTTCTGTCTTACTTTCAAAGGTTTCTAAACTTCCAAGTTATTTTAAAAACACATTCTGACAAATTTCCATTCGAGACATTTACTGTCTTATCATCTCACAGTGGAAGGCTCTAATCCATTTATCTCTAGGCTCTGTAGTGAGCGGGAGTTCAGCGTGGTTTACCTTTATGCAGATAGCCAGTTGTGTCAAGATCACTTATTAAACAAACATTTTCCCCATTAAATTGAAATAACATCTTCGCTTTCTATTAAATTTCTGTAGATACTGTGATTGACTTCTACACTCTCTAAGGGGTTCCTATAACATTTAACTGTATTGATTATAGAACCTTTATAATGTTTTATTTATTCTCCTGTTTAAGTTATAAGATAGGATACTCAATCTCCTTAGTGCCATTCAGATGCTAGCTGGAACTCTATTAAATGCATGTAACTCAGGGAAATCGAAACATGCAGTCCTATCTTGCTATCAGGGACAGCAGTCTCCTTCCGTTTGTTCATCCACTGTTTTATGTGCTTCAGCACATTGTGTTAGTGACTGTTTTACTACTTCTCTGAATTTTCTAAATATTCCACCATATCACTTTGGAATTACTTTTGTAATTTGAGAGCAGGGTCTGGGGGTTCTTCTCTCTCTTGCTGCCACAGCCAGCTCTGCTCCAGGGAGCTCAGAGGACACCGAGCTTTCCAGAGAGCAAAACGCACATGGACTCTGATTCTATTCATTAGAGCCAGAAAATCATAGTTGATGCTATGAGACTGATGTAGGGAAGGTTTCCTTTCCATGTTTCAGTGTTTTCTTTGCTGTGAAATATTTCTGATGGGTGAAGCTTTAAATCTTCCCAGGACTACTTCATCTAGCAACCATGGCGTGCTCTGTGCAGGACCTCAGCGGGTCCTATGTCACTTGAACAGGAGTCCGCTGCCTGTGAGGTGCGGTCTGGTGCTGATGCACAGGCTCTGAGAGCATCAGGTGACTGCTGATCTGCCTGGTCCAGGGCTGGCGGCATCTTCTCTGGCGGCATCTTCCCATCCATCTCTGGGTCCAGCTCCTGAGCTCTGCCTCCTACCCAGGGCTTCCTCAGACTTGAGGCTGCAGGTGCACACCCCAGGCCAAGATTTCCCCACACTGGGCAGGAAGAAAAGGGCTTATGGGGCCTGTGGGCACAGCCTCCGCCCCTTCACAGCCTCAGGCAGATGCTGGTATAACTGCAGGTGAAGCTCCTTACTGCCAGGTACTGGATAGCACTCTGCACACCCCCACCCAGAGCTGATGAACCACCTGGGCATTAAGCAATGGGGGCCTCCATGGGGTTGCACACATCTTCGGTTCTCACCAGGCCCTCCCAAAGGCTGCCTGGCTTTGGCCAGAGAGCTCTGCAGCTGAATGCTGCCTTTGATATTGACTAGGCATGACCAGGACCACACATGCCAATGTGCTCCCAGGTGGGGTACTGTCCTTCTACCTGGGTTGGAAATGTCATCACAGAGCAGCGTTTCACACCGGGGTCAAGGCCTGCTTCTGAGCTCCCTCTCCTGTTCCGAGGGACTCCTGGCTCTCGGAGTTAAGGTGTAGGTGGAGAACATCATGAAATCAGAGCCTGTGTCCCTCTAAGCCAGGCAGCTGCCCTTCCCCATACCCAGCACCATGCAGTAAGGTGCATCCCGTGTGGAACAGGCTTCCCACAAGAAGCCAAATATCCGCATTTTTAGGTGTGATCTCCTGATTTTTTTTGTTGTTGTTGTTGAGACAGAGTTTCGCTCTTGTTACCCAGGCTGGAGTGCAATGGCACGATCTCGGCTCACCGCAACCTCCGCCTCCCGGGTTCAGGCAATTCTCCTGCCCCTGCCTCCTGAGTAGCTGGGATTACAGGCACGCGCCACCATGCCCAGCTAAATTTTTGTATTTTTAGTAGAGACGGGGTTTCACTGTGTTGACCAGGATGGTCTCGATCTCTTGACCTCGTGATCCACCCGCCTCAGCCTCCCAAAGTGCTGGGATTACAGGCGTGAGCCACCGGATCTCCTGATTTTTAAATGATGGTCAATGTCCCCCAACCCCTCCTCATACTCAACAGAGCACTGCAGCTTCTCCGGGAGGCCCCTGTCTGCTGTGTCCCCCTCTCCCGGCAGACCCACCTCCTGCCTCTGAGCCTTGGGTTACTTTCCTCTGAAATGGGCTCATGAGAGGACCGCACAGATCCTGGCAGTCAAATGAGAGGCTGCCTGGACAGCGTCTGGAACCCAGGGTTCTTCCAACTTTCTTTCTTTCTTATCTTTGAGATGGAGTCTTTCTCTGTAGCCCAGGCTGGAGTGCAGTGGTGCAATCTCAGCTCACTGCAACCCCCACCTCCTGGGTCCTGGTTCAAGCAATTCTCCTACCCCGGCCTCCCAAGCAGCTGAGATTACAGGTACAAGCCACCATGCCTAGCTAATTTTTGTATTTTTTAGTAGAGACGGGGGTTTCATCACATTGGCCAGTCTGGTCTTGAACTCCTCACCTTGCGATCCGTCCGTCTCAGCCTCCCAAAGTGCTGGGATTACAGGCCTCTTCAAACTTTCAAGGTCATAAAAGACAAAGACAGCCTGAGGACCATCTTCACATTAGAGGATAGTTATGAAGGATATTATTGGGACAATTGACAAAATTTGAATATGGACTAAGCTTTAGGTCATAGTGTCATGTCAATGTTGAATTTCCAGGTTTTTATCCTTGTACTGTCGTCATGCAAGAGACGTCCTTGTTATCGAGTATTTGAGGGGCAACAGGGCAGAGTATCTGTAGGTTATTACACATATATGTTATATATACATAATGCAAATATATATGTGTGGATGTGTGTGTGTATATATATATATGTAGAGAGAGAGAGAGAATGACAAAGTAAACAGGGCAAAATACAGGAGGTCTTTGTACTGTTCTTATACTTTTCTGCAGTTGTGAAATTATATCAAGATTAAAAGTTATCCAAAGAAATACGTCAACAAAGAAAAACAGAAAAAAGCTTATAAAAATTTCTGCTTTTCATATATATTAATGTATATGATATAAATATATGACATATATGATAATATATATGATATTTCCTATATGATACATGAAAAGCAGAAATTGCATACATACACAATTGCATAGATATTAATATATCTCATATATATAGTGTGTACACACCCACACACACACACACACACACACGTGCGCACATATTCCACACCCCTCTGAAGTTTCATAATTCAAAGCCCATGTTGAACGATCAAGTATCACAATGCCATCATCAAAATGCCCCTCCCTGATCCGTCCCATCCTACAGTCCAGGGGCTTCCTCCTTTCCCACAGGCCTGCTCATTGCAGATGGGCGACCGTGCAGCCTGCACACTGAGCCTTCACGCTTAACTACCACCGGGGCCGCGGCGTCCCTGGAACTCTGCGGCAGGAGCCTCCCAGCCGCCGGGAGCACCGTGGGCCTAACAGCAGCAGCTCCTCCAGGCTGTTGGAGAGCTAGAAACAGACTCTCAGTCCTCCTTCTTCCACTAAGATCCTCAACATCTTTCCAGGAGGGGAAAATCTTGGATTGTGGTGTCACCATGAGCGAAAAGAGAGCTTCCTTCTTCTGTGGGGCAATCAATGACGAGCCCTTGCAGAATTCCTCAAGAAGATATCAAGGTCTACATCCTCAATTCTTCACCTGTTCACTTTCTATAACAGCCTGGGATGCTTTTAAAAAGATGTCATAAAACACCTGTATACTTATAGCTGGGTTTCTGCTTTCAAGTGAATTTTTCTTTTTATTTATGAAACAAATTTCTATGTTGTTTTAAAAATGGTGACAGGAAATGGTGCTTTGAAATACAGGTAGCACTATGTTTAAAACATGTCATAAGGCCGGGCATGGTGGCTCAGCCCATAACCCCAGCACTTTGGGAGGCCGAGGCGGGCCTGACGTGCCCTGTCCACACACAGCCACCCACCATCCTCTGTCTCTTCAGAACCACATCCCGATGTCAGCCTTTCCACAGCTTTTGCCATCGCTCTGTCGAACACCGCCCCCGCACCCCAGCTCACCCTCTTTGTCCCTCGTCCTGCCTTTCTCCTGCTCCGCTTTCCTCCATGGAACTCCCTGCTGATGTGCCACGTGCTCTACTGATTCGTTTTGCTTTTCCTGCGTCTGCCCAGCTGGAGGGAATTTTGTGCTCAGCAGAAGTGTGTGTGGCCAGCAAAGGGTGTGGCTGTGTTCCAGCTTCCCTGCCCCATGGGGACTGTGCAGCTCCCTTTGCACCTCCCTGGGGTCGGCTGTGGGTGCAGAAGGCTGCCCTTCGTGTGTTGGCTCAGTCTGCCCTGGGGCTGGGCCAAAATTTGGAATAAGAAAAACCCAAGCCCAGAAGTCATTTTCAGTGCCAGTGTGAACTTGCTGGACAAGCTCAGCTACCAGAACCCTGCTGGATCATCTCCAAGAGCCAGTCTCAGGGACCCTGAGTCACCTGTGGAACAGCTGTCAAGGTGGCTTTGAAATGCTCAGCCATAGGAACAGCACTGGCAGCCCTGCCTATTGAGGCACACGAGGCTGTGGTATTTCACGTCTATTACAGTAACATGACCTTGGTAGAGGATGGGATAAAAGAATAAAGATGCGGCCTGGGCAACATAGTGAGCCCCGGCTCTACAAAAAATAAAAAATGTAGCCAGGCATGGTGCCCCTGTAGTCCCAGTGACCCAGGAGGCTGAGTGGGGAAGACGGCTTGAGTCTCAGAGGTCAAGGATGCAGTGAGCTGTGATTGCGCCACTGCACTCCAACCCGGGTGACAGAGTGAGACTCCGTCTCAAAAAAAAAAAAAGATTAATTCATCATCGTGTATATTAACAATATTTTCTTTAGTGTTACTCAGACGTGTTTTTACTTCCTGCCCTTCCAAGAAAAATACTGGTGATGGGGCTACCTCTTTCAACTTGGAGAAGACAAGTGCGCCCGTGGGTATGGAGCAGTCAGGTCTGAGCAGGCACAGAGAAAATCTAGGCAATACCATTCAGGACACAGGCATGGGCAAATATTTTATGTTTATATTGCCAAAAGAAATTGTAACAAAGCAAAAATTGACAAATGGAATCTAATTAAAGTAAAGAGCTTCTGCACAGCAAAAGGAACTCTCAGAGTGACCGACAACCTATAGAATGGGAGAAAATTTTGCAATCTACCATCTGACAAAGGTCCAATATCCAGGATCTACAAGGAACTTAAGGAAGTTTACAAGAAGAAAACAGCCCCATTAAAAAGTGGGCAAAGGACATGAACAAACACTTCTCAAAAGAAGACATACATGCAGCCAACAAACATATGGAAAAAAGCTCAACATCACTGATCATTAGAGAAATGCAAATGAAAACCACAATGAGGGAGTGACAAATGCTGGCGAGGATGTAAAGGGAATCCTCACACACTGTCAGTGGGAATGTAAGTCAGTAAAACTTCTATGGAGAACAGTTTGGAAGTTTCTCTGAAACTAAAAGTAGAGCTACCGTAGGATTCAGCAATCCCACTGCTGGGTACATACCCAGAAGAAAGGAAATCAGTACATTGAAGGGATACCTGCACTCCCATGTTTCTTCCAGCACTGTTCACAACGGCCAAGCTTTGGAAGCAACCTGTTGATGGATAGTTAGTATCCATCAACAGATGAATGGATAACGAAAGCGTGGTGCATATACACAACAATGGCGTACTCTTCAGCCATAAAAAACTATGAGATCCTATCATTTGCACAAACATGGGTGGAACTGGAGGTTATTAAATGAAATGAGGCAAAGAAAAACAAGAAAACGTCACGTTTTCTCTTATTTGTGGGGGCTAAAAATTAAACAAACTCATGGAGATACAGAATAGAAGGATGGTTACTAAAGGCTGGGAAGGCAGGTGCGGGGGGAGAGAGGTGGGGATGGTCAATGGGTACAAAAGGTAAATAGAAAGAATGAATAAAACCAGTATTGGTAGTACTTGACAGCAACAGAATGCCTGCAGTCAATAATAATTTAATTGCACATTTTTTAAAAACCCAGTATAGTTAGACGGTTTGTAACACAAAGGAACCGGGTAGCATCTGTGTTCCAGGGGACAGATAGAAAATGGACCCAGGCCTGTCTCTGACAGGGTGAGCTGCTGGAGCGGGAAGGAGGGATCTGGTAGATGCGGGGCTGGGAGCTGAGGGCGGGGCTGTGCTTCAGCCTCCTCCTCCCACTGCCCCTCCCCTGCCCCCAGGAGCCCTTTGTGAGGAGGAGGCCCCAGCTCTGTGATGCACGCCTGGTCCCCAGTCCCTAGTCCTAAAGGGGATGCCCAGAGCTCAGTTGCTTGAAGGCGCGACTTTGCACTTCAGATGGAAAAAATGCTCTTTCCTCTGAAGAGCCCTAGTGCCACATGGCTGAGCCCCAGCTCCACTCCCTGGGTGATGGATTTCATCCTCATTGGAGTGTGTGCCCTGGGGCTCCTCTTCCTATTACTCCCCTACCTCCCCAGTGACCCACCCTGGAGGAGGAGGAGCAGCAGGGAGGTAAGGAGCCCTAAGCCCAGCCCCACAGAGAAAGGTTCTCTCTGCTTTTCCTCCCCTCATTTCCACTTTTCCTAAGCCATGAGAGACGTTCCTGCTATGGGAAATCTCATGGCCCCTCAGGACAGGGCAGGGCAGGGCGGGCGGGGTGAGAGTGCACGGAGGATTCCATGCCCAGCTCCCAGACCATCTGTGGGGTGGGCAGGAGGCTTCAGGGCACAAACCAACACCGGGCTCAGCGTCGAGGACCGGCTCAGGAGAGGGGCGACGGCTCTGTGGGAGACAGGCTCATCAGCCCTTCCTGGGGCAGGTGCTGGGGCCCAGCCTCCTCTGTGTGGGGTGATCTGGAGCTGTGCTGAGCCCCCGAGAGCCTCCCACAGAGCCTGGACTCACCTCTGGCGGCGGAAGCAGAATCCTACTGGCAGCTCAGAGGAGCCTGGGGGCCTGGGCCTGGGTGTTCCCTGAGCAGAGGAGCAGGGACTGGGGACATCCAGGGTGGAGTCACACAGAAAACCCTCCTAGCATGTCTGTAAGTAGGAAAACAGAAAACATTTCATGCAGGGTAACCATGGGTGAAAGAAACGCACACAGAGCTCCCTGAGCTAGAGGCAGAAAGCCGAGTCCTTCATGAGCACAGTGTGAGTGCAGCTGGTCTGGGGAGAGGAGAGTGAGAACAGGTCCCAGCCCCTCACCCTTTCTTGCCTCTCAGGATCAGAGGAAGAGAAGGGGAAGATCCAGGAGCAGGAAGCAGATCCCAGCTCTGAAAGGTGAGGCTCCCCAGAGGCGACTGAGCATTGCCTGGCCCTAAGCAAGTCATTTGCAGAGGCCTGAGAAGGGAAGCTGCTGGGAGGGAAGTCAGACCCCGGGGCCTCCTCAGATTCCCTGCTGGAATGAAGCCATGGAGGCCGGACCTGGTATGGCCCATAAGGGGTTGGGGAAGGGACCAATGCCTGCCTGGGTATGGGGGAGGTCAGGGAGGCTCCAGGTCCATGTGGACAGCTGTTCACCTCGGCTATGGCTGACTCCTCTTAGAGACCACCACAGTCCACTCTCCCCACAAGATGATGTGACACCCATGAGGGGGTGTCTGTGGAAGCCCTTTCTGCAAATGACAAAGTGCTGCACGGTGCACACCTTGCTGTCACCATCGGGATCAGGTGGCCTTGGACACAGATGCGTGGGCTTCAGGGTCTAATCCGCCTTGGTGGCCTTAAAGAGACATCCATCCAGCCCCCCGTAGGGTTCACAGGCACCGTCCTCCCCACGTAACCCCGCCTCCTGACTTCCAGCTTGCAGAATCCTTCTGAGGGAGCTGGAGGAGACTCGGGACCTGTCCTGTCTTCTGGAGAGGTGAGGAGCGTCCCTTTCTCCCCATGTCCTCCTTCCTACCAGGGCCTCTGAAGTAACCCTAGGGCCTGGTGGAGACCTGGGAGGGGAGGCCCTGGGAAGGGGACAAGAGGGGACTGAAGCCCTGGGGCGGGCATAGGCAGAGCTTTGTGAAGTCAGCCGTCGGGGAGGTGGAGGGACCGTGGGCCCCAGGTGCCAGCCCTCCCGGCCTCTGGACCCCCTGCCCCTGGCTGCAGCTTGTGCCTGCTGTCTCCTGCAGCCACCTGAGGAAGCTCGCGGGTGAGGGTGGTTCCCATCCACCCTTAGGGGGAGATCCCCTGGGTGACGTCTGCAAACCAGCGCCTGCTCAAGCCCCTCAGCCACATGGGAAACGTATGCAAGACCCACCACCCGCCAGCTTGTCCCCACCGGCTTTCCCGGCTCCTCTGGCCTCCACCCTGTCACCAGGCCCAGAGCCTTTAGGATCACACTCAACCCTGAGTGCCACCAGGCCACCAGAGCCCTTGTCTCCCCTAAAACGCCCTGCACCCCGGCCACATGCGCTTGTTCCTCCCTCACCACAGCCCCATGAGCCCGCGGCCTCCTCTCCACCCCCACGGGCCTCCAGCCTGGCTGGACTTTCGTGTGGCCCCGGCCCCCACAGCTCCCCTCCACAACAGCAGCAGCCACCGGCTCCAACCACGGTGATCTCTGGACTTGGGCGCTCCGGCGAGCCCACTGGGGACCTCTCCTGGTGGAAGGAGGTTGCCACCACGTGGGGCCTCTCCACCTGCTCACATGGCAAATTCCAGCAACAGCATCTTCCCGACCACACCCCAGAGGCTTCCTTCTGGGGAGACCGCACACCCAGGCAGATGGAGGCAGGTGAGTGCACATTCATCCACCCTGACGTGCAGAAGCTGCTGGAGACTCTCATCACCAAGAAGGCAGTGATGAAGCTGCGGCAGGAGAAAGAAGGGAAGGGGGTGGACTGCTTGCGGGTGACACCACTGCAGAAGGAGTGGGACGCCACGACTCCCGATCCCTTCTGGAACCAGACAGCCCAACCACAGCAGCCACCCAGTCCGCAGCAGGTCTCTGACGCCACGGCCATGGGGGACCACTTTCAGCAGAAATGCAGCCAGCTCTTATGGGACCTCCCCTCTTTCAACAGCGAGTCCCTGGTGGCTGCGGCCTGGGTTTCCAAGGCTTCCTCAGGAAACAGGCACAGGGTATCATTTTGTGAAGCTGCCACTTCTCTTCCACGTGAACCTGAGGTTGAGGCATCATCACAGATTCCCCAGGCACCACCCCAGCCCCACCACGTGGCCCAGCCTCAACCTGTCACTCCAGCCAGGCCCCGGCCCCAGCCCCAGCCCCCGCCTCTGGCTGGGATCCAGACCCAGGCCCACTTCTCACCCCGTGTCCCAAGCCTACCGTTCTCTTCTCCACCCCACATTAGGGGCTGTGGGGCATCTTGCCTTACATCTCAGCAGAGGGCACATTCTACCATCCCCACTGGAAAGGGGTATCTTGAATGGCCCTTGCAGAAGCGACCAAAGTGGAAGAGGGTTTTGCCCTCTCTCCTCCAAAAGTCTCAGGCTGTCCTGAGCGAACCCACTGCCCACCTTCCCCAGGAGAGGCCAGCCCCATACAGCGCCAAGTCAGCCCCCATCCTTTCCGGGGCTGCCTCCAGCCCTGAGCTTCCAAAGCACCAGTGGCGAGGAAAGGGTGCCATCCACCAGGAGCAGCCCTGTGGCTCGCCTGGCAGATGCCAGCCACCTGGAGACCCGCTGCGGCCCCAGGGGGAATTCCCAGGGATGCCCCAGCATCAAGCAGAAGACATGCAGGGGACCCACCTGCCCTCCCAGCCTTCTGAATTTTCGGGGAAGCACAGCGAAGATGGGCAGAAGACAGGATTTAGGAGCTCTGGAAGGTTCTCTGGGAAGGGGTGCTTAAGGTCCAAGCAAGAGCCAGATCCAAGCCAGGATCGAGGCCAAAAGCTGGAGAGGATCCCAGCAGATCCATCCAGAGGCTCAGGAAGGACCTCAGTGAAGCTTCTGGAGGAAGACAAGCAGGAGGCAGAAGGTGATTTCAGGAGGCCCTGGAAGAACCAATCAGTAAGTTCCGCACCCGGGGACCCAGACAAGAAGCATCCGGAAAATAAGCTGCAAGTCCATCTGGGCAGGAAGGTAGGGGAGATCAAGGATGGCTGGATCCCCATGCCTGTGCGTCGCTCCCGGCTCATGGCCAAACGTGCTGTTCCCAAGTCTGACACCTGCCAGGACCCTGGGAAGCTGGCACCCAGGAGAGGTGGGGAAGCCCATGTGAACACCTCCCAGGAGCTTTCCTTCCTCCATCCCTGCACCCAGCAGATGCTGGAAGCACATCTTTTAAGGTTTTGTGTGAGGCACAGGTGGGGTCCAGACCTCCGGTCCCTGGAGCCCATAAACGTCTGGTCATGTGAGGCTCAGCTCCCGCCCCCCCCACATTCCACCTGTCCTCCCTTGGCCTCCTATGAATCTCAGGTTGAATCTGTAGCTGAGGTTGCCACTTTCCTGGGAAAATCTCTCCAGAATGGTCCAGGAGACAGCTGGACAACAAGCAAGTCAATCCCCACCGTGAGTGGCCCTCTCCCTCCCCCACCATCGGAGCAGGTGGAAGTCCAGACGGCCCCGAGAGGGTCCCAGTCAGCTGACACACATGGACGATCAGAGGTGCCTCCGACTGGACAGGAGGACAGGGGGTCTCAGCCCCTCACGTGCAGCCCTGGGGGCAGAACCTGGCACAGGGAGATGGTCCCAGGATCCAGGGAAACCATCCTAGAGGCGAGTCTGAGTCCAGCAATGACTGAGAATGAGCCGTGGCCTGAGAGTGAGAGCACATCCCTGGGAGGCCCCTGTAGTAGCAGAGCCCTGCAGGAGCTCAAGGTAGGGTCCCCATGGGCAAGTGCTGAGGATGCCCTGGAGCCCCTGGAGGTCGGGGAGGAGAAGCCTCCCACTTGGGAAGTCACCTTGGAAGCCAGCATGAAGGCAAATTCGGGAAGCATTCAGGTGGATCTGAGGAGATCAGGGGCTCTGGGGACCACTAGTAATCCCTCAGTGTCCACAGCCTGTGTTGCTGAGAATCCAGGGCAGCTGTGCCTGAGAGCGCAGGTGGTCAGTGAGATAGAGCTCATAGTGCAGGTGGATCCAGAGGAGCAGGTGCCAGGCCATGCCTCTGGCGTCCTCCTCCAGGACGGAGCCACAGGCCTGTGCCTTCCTGGCCGCCACGTGTACATGCTCCCCGCCGCAGACATGCCACCTGCTCAGGCCCCTCTGTCCACCTCCCAGAGTGTGTCCAGTAAGAACACCACAGCTTCCCAGGGGCCACGTGACCTCCTATGGAAGGGAGGGAAAGGCCCAGGGCAGCAGGAGCCTGGGAGCCCAAAAGCGAAGGCCCTGCAGAAGAGTCAGAAGGTGCTGGGCTCTGCAGACAAGGGCAAGGCCCACAGGAAGCCCAGACCAGGGGAGCCGGGACACGGGACCAAGAGACCCAGGACCTCAGAAGCCAGTGGGAGGAGCCACCCTGCCCATGCCAGGGAAATAGGAGACAGACAGGAAAGGAAATATATCCACCCTCAGCTGGAGAAGGGACAGGCACCACCAGAAAGTAACTTTCGGAGACAGATCAGCCACCCTCTGCAGGGTGTACCCCCCAAGAAAAGAGGCGCAGGGCAGGAAGAGGTCCTGCAGAAAGGCAGGCCTGGGGCAGCTGGTGTCCAGAGCCGCGAGTCTGGCCCAGCAAGGTTGTTCATGGACAGCATGGCTGATGAGGCCCGGGCCATCATCAGAGTTGTGGGACAAATCCTGTTGGACAAACTGGGGTTTCGACGGGGACGTGGTCCCTCAGAAGTCAATCGCCACAAAGGTGACCTCCATTCCCAGGACAATGTGCATTCCTGCTGCCACCAAGAACACAGCAGAGAGATGTGTGTTCTGACCTGCAGCCCCAAAGCCACCCCCAAGGGCCATGACAGTCCTGTCAAAAGCAGGAGCAGCAGAGACAGCAATTGGACCCCACGTCCCAAGGAGCCTGTGTCCCCAGCTGGTCACCACCACAGGCCACGGGTGGCAAGCACCTCGGGCAGCTCCATCCACAGCCGTAGGAACTGAGGTCCTGCTGAACCAGACCAGCCTTCTCACACCTCTCCTCGGGGAGACAGCGGGTTCTACTCAAATAAAACCGGACACCTACAGAACAAACCTGTCCTGCGTGGGTGATTATAGCCCCCATGCGTTCATGACTTCCACGGAGAGGTTCCCAATACACCTGCTTTCCCTGCAGAGGTGTTGGCTTCTGCATATGCCATGCTAGGGTACAGGAAAGGGCTCCGCGTCCACTCCTCCTGAGGGTGACTTCCAGAAGGGCTGGGCCTGGAGGAGGCTGACAGGGACATGAAGGACCCCCTCTTCTCCCTGTCCCCCCACTTTGTCTGGTTTCCAAACTGGATCATGACCCAGAGCCTTTGAAGGACAGTAAACCCTATGGAGACCCCGCCTGGGCTCCGGCTGACTGCATTCCCCATTCTCACTAAGGTGACTCCTGTGTTGCTGCAGGGGCTGGGTCTGCAGGGGCCTCACGGACTGAGTGGGGGTAGGCTCCCCTCAGGCTGGAGGAGTGATGGATCCCAGCAGCCTCCCTGCCCCGTGGTAGCCCAGGAATGTGGGGCTGTCCTGTACTGGCCCTGGGTCAGAGGCAGGACAGTTCCTTCCCCGATCTCCTGGTGGGGAAGAGATGGCATCTTCCCCAGACCCTTCCCTTCCTGCTAGTTCTGGGATGGACTGGGGCCCCACCAGCACGTGGCTCAGCCTTGATATCGCCCCTGTGTTCACGTCTGGTGTCCCGACTCACTCTCCAGAGCAGCCTCCAGGACGAGCCTCCCAGCCCACTAATGAGTGTGGGGTTGGCGTGTCAGGGGCACCCAGGGCTGCTGCCTGCCCCTCTGGTGGGACTCTGTGATCAGGAACCAGCAAAGGGGACCTTAGGCCCAGGATGGGAGGTGGGAGAAGAATCAGGGAAGATGAACATAAGTTCGCAAGTGCAGGATCCACAAGCTGCCCGCTGCTGTAACCAGGGTCCTCGCAGTCTGGTGACTGCTACAACCAAAAGTGGCCAGGGCCACTCCCGCGGAGGGGGACCCCGAAGGCAAGGGCTGGCCTGGGTCACACAGCACATCTGTGGCTCCAGGCCCAGGTGCTGGCAGGGGACACATGGGGCCTCAGAGGATCTGGTCACAAGGTTGGCAGGGACAGTCCCCACAGGGCAGGGTCCTGCACCCCCTCTGTCCTGGTGCTGGTCCCTCCTGGGCATCCCCAGGGCAAGCAGGAGCAAGGGCTGGGCAGGCAGGAGCCAGTTCCCCAGAGGGCTGTGCCCAGGGGCCTTCTGCCAGGGAGAGCTTTATATCTGCAGGGGTGATGGAAGCTGAGGACAAGGGGACAGGTCTGTCCCCAGGCCTGGTGGGACCCATGCAGGGCACCTATTGGGAACAGGCTCTGGTGTCCCTTTGGGCATCCAGGCTACTGCTGGAGCCAAGTCCTGCCTGGGATGGTGACCTGGGCAGCTCCAGTGTGGGCCCAACATCTATGGGACACAGGGTCCCAAGAGCTGCAGCAGAGGAGCCCCACGGAGACCCCGTGTAGACCCCACACTCGAAGATTCCCACAGAGACCCCCAAAGAGACCCCCACATTCACAGACTTCAGTTTCTCCACAGTGACCCCCTGAGGCCCTAACAGAGAATCTGACTGAGACCTCCCATTAAAACCTCCCAGAGGGATCTCCCCCGAGAAACCCCTGACAGAGGCTCACACAGAGACCCTTCAAAACCAACACAGAGATCCCCACAGAGACCCCCCCACCCCACAATGACTCTAACAGAGACCTCCAAGATAAAATATGTCAAGGTCACTTTATCACCCCCTAAAATACCAAGCACTGCACTCACTTGGTTAACTGAGCAACATCTAACTCATTACCAGCAATGGCTTTCTCCTGGTGATCCTCTGCATTCTTCCAGATAAGATTCCTTCACACATCGAACAATGGACAAGCCTCCTCCATCAGACCGCATCCAACTTAGCAACAAGCCTCCTCCATGAGACAGTGTCCAACTTAGAGACAAGCCTCCTCCATCAGACAGTGTCCAACTTAGAGGCAAGCCTCCTCCATCAGACAGTGTCCAAATTAGAACAAACCCCTGACCCTCTGACAGACCCTTCCTCAGATCATCCAGTCACAACCCCCATGCTGATACAAAACTGTAAGCATTGATAATAGAAATGATGAGAGTTCCTCTGATGCCATCCATCTGAGACTGCCCTCAGCTCCTCAGGCCATGCCCTGCCCTCACTGCCAAGGGAATCCCCCTGGCTCCTCTAGGTTGGCCTTGCTCATGGGGCTCCTGCGGGCCTTGTGCTGGAGCACATGGAACGGGAAGGATCTCGGCTTGGACACAGCTTCCTCAGGAAACCTTCTCTGACTCCCCTGTGAGGCCAGGCCCCTGTGCTGGATTCCCCACCCTGGCCCTTCTTCCCTTGTGACAGCCTCTGCATCCTGGGCATCTTTCTCCCAGGACCCTGAAAGCTTCTTGTGGGCCCAGTGAGGAGGGAGGTGTGCCTGACCACACTCCCGGAACTTACTGTGGCCCTGTTATAAATTGTTTCATAAAATCTTCTTAGTTAATGGGCACAGGAATCAATGCTTCCCAATCTACCTCATACACAAGTTGCATCACTAAAATCATCCTTTCATAAAGGGTCTGAACCCTTTTCAGTACCCAATATAATGAATATAATGTTTCAAGGAAAATCTGTAAGAATAAAATGGCATTGCTACTTCAGATTTAGTGTATAAAGAAATTTCCAAATTCAAATTATTCAATCTAAGTTACTTATTTTATAGGTCAGGTATGAATATTCTTGTAAGTTTTTAATCCTTCAAAGTAAAATCCTGGCGTTTAGAGAATACAAACTGAAAAGCAATTTTGCTTCAAAATATTTTTTCTAATGTGCCACAAATTTATTTTAAAAAACTATTACCAAAGAAGATGTAGTTTTTGTCAGGCCTCCAAATCCAAGCCTGGCCAGCATAGCCTTGGTGACCTGCAGGTATACCTCCTAATGGTCTTCAGGAGCCAGAGAGTCTGAAGTAACTTGATGGCCACAAAGACTAGTTCCTGCCTCAACTGATTGCTCTCCCCCTGCAGACTTCGACTGTTGTTCCTGCTCAGCCTTTTGAAGCTTCCCCTCAGACGTTAGGTTTCTCAAGACTCCCACCCCCATAACTATGGAATTTACTGTACCCTCCCCTCTGCTTGCAGCTGATACCCCCCACCTTTATGATCATGCCTGTTTGTAATAGATAACCACTACCCTTGTGACCATGCATCCCGTGACCCCTTTCCTTTCTCCAAAATAGATGACCACCTTTAACTGACCATTTACCCAGACTTATGTAACCAGTCCCCTTTCCTACTCCCCTTGCCTAACTCCTTTTTCGGACTTGGCCTGCTTGCACCCAAGTGTGAAGTGAAATGACCTCATTGCCCACACAAAGCCTGCTTGGTGTTCTGTCTACGTGAGTGATGCACCTAACAATTCTAAGTAATTTAAATATTCAACTTGCAAGAAATATATATATTGTAAATCCACTCTTCTAAAAATGAGGAGCAGCTATATGTTTACTTTCACATCTAAAATGCTGAAATATGGGGGAAATTAGGGAATCACCACAAATGTCCAGAGGAAAACGGAGACTCAGAAAAGATCCAAGAAGATGTTAAGTTTATATGTCAGGATAAGCCTTGGCAAAGATACAAGCTACACCAATTTTTAAAGTAGCAAAACCTGGAGAAGGATGAAAATATGATTTTCAGAGTTAACACATTATTATATTCAAATATGTAATTTTTGACAAAAAAATCGAAAGGCATACAAAGAAGCAGGACAATATAGTCCACTCAAAGATTTTTTAAAAAATGAGCCAACAGAAATTGTCCCTGAAAAAGACCCGATGGCAGAGCTACAAGAATGACTTTAAAATTCAAAACATTTGTATTAGAGACACACAAATACTAAAGTAGGGCATAACATTGCCAAGAAAACAATGTATGAACAAAATGAAAATATTAATAAAGACATTGAAAACCTAAAAAGAAGCCAAAAAGAAATTTTGGAGCTGAAAAGTGTAGTAACTCAAAAAATTTACTAGAGGGCAGATTTGAGCAGGTAGGGCAAGAATTTGTGACCATAAAGACAGAACAACGCAAATTATTGAATCTGAGGAACAGAAAGGGAAAATTCAAGAAAAGTGAATGAAGCCTAAAGAATCTGTAAAGTTCTCAGTAAAGGTAAGTGCATGGACAATTACAAAAGCTAGTTATTTAACTCCACTTTTTGCTTTCTACATGATTTAGAAGACTAACACATTAAAAAAAATAATTATTAGCCTAAAAGCTAGATTATGGTCACCTTGATTTGTAACTTCACATTGTTTGCTATATAATTTCAGAAACCAATGCATAAAAATTATTAGTTTATGTTTTTGGGCAGCAAGGTATATAAATATAATTTTGTGATATCAACAACTGAACAGAGTGTAGACCAGGCTGTTAAAAGGACATATTTCTGTACGTTATTTAACTTACGATAGCATAAGTTCAAATTAGGGTATTATAACTTTAGGATGGTAAAGGTACTCACATGATAACCAAAAAACTGGTTACAGAATATACACAAAAGGAAATGAGAAATAAATGTTTCACTACAAGAAAAAATGTATCTAAACACAAAAGAAAATAGTAAGGCAGGAAATGAAGGAAGAAGCCATGAGCCAGGGAATGTGGTAGCTTCTAGAAGCTGGAAAAGTGAAGGAAACATTTTCTTCCAGGGCCTCTAGAAGGAAACACAGTCCTGTCAACAGCTTGGATTTAACCCACTGAAACTCATTTTATATTGCTTCCAGACTGTAAGACAATAAATTTATATTATTTAAGCTACTGAGTTTGTAATAATCTGTTACAAAAGTAAATAGAAAACTAGTATAACATGTCAATATTCAGAAAAATAATGGAACTAGGTTCATAGTCAGCATTTTCATGCAGTACCTTTGGTTTT